ATGTAATTCTAAAATCAAATTGACTGTGATTCAAGAATTTAGCTTACACCTATCTGTTGTAAAAGTTGTAGCTTGTATTATGGCTTTAATGTAATACATGTATATATAAATGTTTGTATGATTCTATTTGAGATGCACTTGCAATAGAGTAAATACGGTATTTCCATAAATGCACAACCATGGAATACAAAAAATTTGGTGCAGTAAATACACATATCCATGGAGATGTCCCCCATGGAATAGATTCCAATTGAAAGCAAGTGAAAGTAAAATAAATTAGCATAAACTTGTCAAGTTTCATCAAGTTTCATTAAGCGACAGTGTCATTACATTCATTACGTGCAGTGTGTCAACAGCCCAAAGTGGAATTAATATATTAACTTAGCAGAGGCAAATAAACGATGACCACGAATGCAATCAATGGATGATAGGAACGCGACCATAATGCGATAAACAAACTACCTGAATGCAATAAAGTTTGGTAGTACGTGTAAATTCGAACCAAATACCAGAAAGGTCAAATGAAGTTACACAACCAAACAAAACAACCACCGGTACTAGTCCAAAGTGCGATTACAGATAATGGAAACATGACTTGATGAATGACCATCAGAAGACAGAAGACGTTGAAGAAATAAAAAACACTCAGACAGACATAGCCAAGATTCCAGAAACTAAAATAACAATTTGTGTAATTTTCACCATTCACACTACATATTAGATCTGCTTTAAAAACAAAACAAATTTTAGTTTGCCTGGAAAATCACATACAACCACACAAACATAAGCAATTTTTAACAGGTGCAGTGTCAAGAATACATTCATTAGATGCAAGGACAGGTTATTGCATGGTTCATCAAGCATAGATAAGGATCTTGTAGCACTTCGATTGGGAAGTTTAATAACAAAACTGTCGACAAATTGAAACTAATACTTCTAGTGAAGCTCAATCGATAAAGTTTCCCAGCAGTAAAATTGCAATCAATTACATGTGCTATTTTGGAACCTTTTTTTTTTTTTGCTGACGAAATGAAGTCAGCATGGAATTTTCAGTGAGAATAAAAAAAGTTCATGGTATTGAAAACACAATGCAAACACACATACAGGTAACCAATATAATGGATCATTTTATGTGACGTCACTATATGTATTTGTATAACGGGAATCGTTTGACAAGGCACCAATACAACCACAAATATCTAGGCAACAGCATTTTGAAATACCGAACATGCAAAGGATCTTTACAAGCACATACCTAGAAGATCAACTTTCTTGAAATTTCTGGAATTTCATAAAATCAAACTAGTAGTAACATTTTAGAATAGAGCTTAGTTAACACAATGACAATCACAGAATACGTCTTTATAACCACAAGTCAGCATTTTACCACCATCCCTAACTAAGTAAACACCTTGAGTGACCAAATAATGCGATATGTTGCTATAGATTGGAAAAAACGTGAAGTGAATTCCAAGAGCTCGAATACGTTTGTGTCACATATGCGCAAAGAAAAGGTCAAACTACTGGTCAGTGATTTGACTCGTAACAGACTTTGTGCCAAACTTTAGCTTTTTAAGGTTCTATTTTAGGTTCCAATGTGGAGTCAGCTCAGAAACAACAGTACAATAAATGAGAAGGGTAACAATACAATACTTTCAGCACATCTCCCAATCACAGAAGAGGCAGCTGCGGTCAGCAGATTTTGAAGCAGTATTGTCTGTTAGATTCTATTGGAAGCTCTTTCCTTACAAAGCGATATTTGTCATATAGCAATTAAATGTAACAGTCACGTTATTCACAGGAGATCCGGGTCAAAAGCCTCTTGTTGAATATCACAGAGTATCTCCATAGTTATGATGGATTTTGCAGCATATTTGGATGTCATCACTAAATTGCATGCACGCATTTTAATTGCATCATATCACCATAATACAGAATCAAAAATTAATGTGTAGAATTTTCCAAATAGATTAGTCAGTGCTGGTGAAGCATACCAAGAATTTGCAGTTGCCCAAACAGAAAATACCTTAGTTGCTGAGCAGTGAAAATAATCAGGATACAACGCTGATAATTTACGAATGTGTATTTGGTTCATGACCAAAAAACGTTGTATGTTACATACAACTTACTAACAATAATAATAAGCTAATCAGAAAAATCTGAAAATTCCTTGATAACTTTTCAAAAAAGGAGAACAACCAGCTGCCTCACAAACAATTAGCTAATTTTTATTCAATAGAGCCTTCTTTTTTTTTGGTTCTGTCATGATTTTCCTTTTTCTTTTTTTTTTTATCTTTATAGTCATATTATCAAAATCTCAATGAGATACAAATAAAGATTACTAATACAACATCATAGTTATCATGAAGTATTGCATTCTATGTTGTGTGGGTCCCTTATTCAACACGTCACAGAGTGACTGTGCTATGTTAAATATTTTCAATATTACAGTAACTTGTACATGACACGGTAGATATGCAGAAGAGAAAAACATGACCAATTTCACAATCACAAAATCAATATTTTCAAAAAACATTTGCACTTGCAGTTACATGTTATCTGTAAACTACCCAAGTTTTGCAAATCTGTCGTAAGCTTTATAAATATTTCATTGGAGCTGAAAATGTGCTAGCATTTTTGTTCGTGAAACAGGTGTTAACAAACTAACAATATCACAAATTTCTTGAACACATGGAACCCAAACTTAAAAGGGACAATCTCATTAAACAGCTTGGAGTGTAGAAAGTAGAATGTCTTGATTAATGAATGTAAGCCCTGGAATATGTTTTTCGTGATCACAATCTACTAACAGTCATGCAATCTCTTTTCACAAAGAAAGGGGGAGGGTAGGAGATCCTTGTATGAATGTGTTTAAGAACACAAAGAGACCCTTATTAATTCTAAACAGTGACCCCCAGACAACTGTAGGTTGCCCACAGGTTGCCTATTCTGTTTCTAAAGCCGATCATAAAAGAGTTCCAACACTACAAAAACAAGATTTAATGGTTAAGATGCTTCATTGACGGAATCCAAGGCAAGTGCACATAACAGTAAAAATAATGGGACATATGTTTATTCGTAAAAAAAAAAAAACGTACAAGAGAGAAAAACACTTATATAGTAGGCCTGGTACGTAGATAAACTAGATTGGGTAGATAAAGTGGAAAGCTTTGAAAAACATAAAAACTGAAATATCTATAAGACATAATCTGCACTAATTTTTCCACCAAAATGTTTAAACACATTTCATGTATTTTTTCGTGAGTTTTAACCCACTGACATAACCTAATACCGTAGTTACTATAGGTCTTTCTTAAAAAAATTGAAGAAAAAGACAAAACATTATAATGAAAGATGAAAATACTCCACTTTGACATTGAAGTGGTTGAAAAAGTCAAATTAAGAGCTGTGGTAGACTGACTGATAGAACCAGGTGATTAACAGTAGTGGTATCAACAATTACTCATTACATTGAAGACACTAAATGCAGGTGCCTCCTTACATTCCACAAAGCTTTCGGGTATCAATCAGGCTGAAATTAGAACAGCCTACGTCAATGCACAAGCTCATACATTGTGAAACTGCAATTTGAGTTTATAAATAATTTATAATGTACATGCTTTGGCTGACTTCAGTGTATCAAGTTTGACATTTTTTTATTAATTGTTATAATGTAAAATTGACTTTTGTATATGTACCGGTACTTTGTTATGCATACTGTTGTGAAATAGCAATTTGGTAATCATCCTTGAACCGACTCAACTCCCACTAAAAATGTAATAAAAGACAAGGTCAATAAAGGTACACCATGGGACATGGTCAATATTAACAGTTTTTTAATTTTCATATAAGTTGAACAATGAAGTAAGAAGGGAGGAGCTTACACAATAACGACAATAAATACTTTTTTCAAAGGTAAACTCGGGGAACAGCATGACCTCTCTCAATTAAATTATTGACTGCTTAATGTTTACAAGCAATCTTAAAACATGGCTTCATTCAGGAACAACAACCCCCCCCCCCCCCACACACACACACACACACATAACTAAAAATTGAACTTATAATACACAGGACTAGAATTTCTGATAAATTATGCAAGTCAAAAAATGTGAAGGGTTTATTTCTGTTTCTAGCAACTACTCGTAATAACTGTTTTCTCGTGACTAAAGAACAGGAAAATGCGACTGTGTGGGGCGGAAAGTCAGGTCACATACCAGGCATATTTACAAATAGTTTATCATGTGGGAGGCTTTAGACAATCTAGTTGCTGCGGTCAAAGACTGGGATAGTATACAAACAGAAAAAAAAATGTGGAATTTTGAGACTGTCGCGTTTGTTGGCAGTCGGTTTACGGTGGAGACGACGCTGTTCATTTACCTTCACATTTTTCGCAAGTGTGAATTCTAATCATTTTAACTGTCCGTGTCCCTTCACACGATTCCAGAGATTTTGTTTGCGTGGTCACGGTCTCGCATGAATACACTTTATTAAATGTACTTGCCCAAATACTGCTATACAGACACCCGACACCGTTGTGACTGCTTTCGTTTTCAATTCGAAGCACAACGTGGTAGCCAGCACGCCATTTTTTAGGTTTCTTATTCTTAACACACACCGCAACATAAAATGGGTACCTATTCGTTTTTTCAACTCAGGGGTGTACACCACTGCAGTTATTGAAAACTAAGACAGTCAACTAGTACTGGGAAAGCGTTGTCTGCTGCGATTCAATGGTGACATTACGTTTATATGTCAAAACAACACTTGCCCATGTGGGAACAATGATAACACAGGGTAACGCCATGAATACAAGCGTGTAAATCATCGATGCTTGACGCGAAGTAAAAAAAAACTCTGCGCTGTACCACGGTCCAGAATGCGCGTGCAGGAATTTCGCATCGAAACCGTAGCTATTTCCTGACGGGATTTTTAAAACATGACAAGGCTAGCGGCAGAACTAAGAATGAGCACAGCTGGTTGACAGTCGAACTACTTACCACAACCTTCGCACACAATTTTGCGAATCGCTCTAAGTTCGTCTTTTCCGGACGTTACAGGGTTCGAGTCCACAACATAACTGTCCCCGGTTTCCGCGCTTCCTTCATCGAGGCGAATGAAAAAAAAATATTTTTCACCTATAAGTAGTTCGTCTGCATTTATAATACATGGTTGTTGCGTTCCGAAGCCTGAGATGATAATTTTTTCCTGGAGTGTCTGATCTGGTTTTATGACTTTCTTCGTTTCCACTATCACAGAGTTGTTATTTATCCTTTCAATAATTCCTTCAATCACTGTGGTAGCTTTATAGGCCTTGTGATCAGTGTTTAACTCTGTTTCCGGCGTACACGCCACGCAAAGTGCGATCAAACTGCACAAAATGATCACTGATAAGTTCCTTTCCATCTTTCGGTGCGCATGAGTCCAAGTCCTGGGTGAAAATGACCCGAAATAGAGCTGTACAAGTCCATGAGTTGCGGAGAGTAGGCGTACATACATTCGCGTTACACGCAACTCTGGAGCTCAGGGAATCACCTCAATCGGAAGTGACGTTGCTTAGCCGTCACCGGAAGAACAACTACGTCACTTGAAGTTTTGCTCGGATCCGCACTTACCTGCCAAGCCACTCAACGCAATGTGATCGCGATTTTATACGCAGGGACTTCAAGATTATTTAATCGAGTGGTTTCAATTTTTTTAAGGTAAATTAAAGGGCCTAGTTGAAAAATTGTTTCTCCAATACCGTGATACGCATGGGCGTGACCGGGGAAGGATGCGTGGGTTGACTGATTGATGTTCCGGTGGCATATTTCGACTGTGATATCACACATATGCCGCCGACAGCACCGGAACAATGAAAGGGGAATTCACACGAGTTCCAATATATAGTGGGTTTGCCGTCTGTCATTATTTGACAAACAAACCATTGGTAACAAAAGATGGTAAAAAAAAGATATTTCCACAACGAGCACAAGTGTTCCCAAATAGGTGACACATATTTTTAGATTTTGCAGGTACATGTATATAGGCGAGGCTGTTATTTATTTTGCCTCGCCCACCCCAAGGTTCCGATCCATATTGGGACAAAGGTCTACGGCGCTCGAATTCGGACACGTGTCACTAAAGCTAACTAGCAGAAATCCAAGGGTCACATTATTTTATTTTTGGTAGGAAAGAATCACACGATATCCGATAGTCGCATTTTTCTTTTGTAAATTTCGCCGAGAAAAATAGTTTGCAATATGAGAAACATCCTATCTCCCGGCTATGGTGGTAATTAGAAATCTCTATTTCAGAGACTGGTTCGTTAGCTTTTCGCACGCAAGAAGTTTCAGAAAATCAAGTTTGATTTTCTAGTATTACTGGAACGCCTACCAGAAAAATGTCTCGTTTTCAAAATTGCTTAAGCTATCCTGTAATCACAGTGGGATTCATAATGGCCCGACCCTAATTTATACTTTTCTGTTGGTGTCACCGACGTACAAGCACGGGCGTCCGCCGGTGATGATGTGGATAGGTTACCTGTGTGCAATAAGTTGTTACCCCTCGGCGTGCTACGCTAAACGACTGTAACTAATGGGCGGTAGACTATCGAGTTAAATAACCACGGGCCTCGTATGAACAAGTTACACGCTGTTAGTACTTGTAATTTGTTACTACACATGTAAATGATTACGTCTGGAGGTGTCACCATTTCAAGCCTTGTTGCACAAAGTTCTCAATAACATCTGTAAGATGATGCCTCGGCCGTGGTATCAAGTGGAGCAGTCAAGTATATAACTCGATGCTCCCGAATATGTCTCCCCGGAAGTCACAGTATCCAGGAGATCATGCCGTTATCCAAGTAAAAAAAAATTACTGAACAAAAACACACCTCTTAGTAGGTCGATAAATTGGTCGCACCCAAAGTACGAACTGCTTGGAGTTTGGATGCCCTCGTGTTTTAGACGAAAACGAACAACTCAATTTTTGTCATCTATTAAACTCCGTAGCAACACATGGTATGGAATGGTTGGAGATTTAATACAATTTATATTTTTTCATCCAGTTGTTAGAATATTTCGTCAATGAGCAAGTTTTAACCGTTGAGCTGTTATTACGTCGTTGCCGTCATCTCTGTCTCGTGGCTGGTAGCGAGTGCTCGGGACGCAAGTATGAACTGAAAAATTATATGATATCGCCCCTTGTAAGATATCGCCCCTTGTTAAAGATACATGTGCTGGTCAAATGTTTCTGTGCAATGACATCATTTGGATAGTCAGTAGAAATCAAAGAAAAAGTGTCCCAGTAGGTGATCTCTGTTTGAGTTGACCAATGCGAGCAATTCTTTTCAGAATCCATGGTGCGACTCATTATTTCGGCCTAGGTAGTAATATTCCGAAGGGGAAAACAAAACATTCCGGAGGAAAAATAATTCTACTTAATGTGTTCAGGCGAACGATCTGCATACAACCATGCCCTGAAAAGCATACATACACAGTCTGATTAAAAATCAATATATGTATAAGTTCATTTTAATAGGCATATTGTATTTCTTATTGATTTTGTTTATCCACAATATTTTTTTTTAAATGATGCAGATTGAAGTGGACGATGGGAGAGCACATTGCAATAATCTATTAGTTGTATGAATTTAGCAAATAAAACAATTAAACCGGTGTTACTGTTTTTTATTATCATTATAAATTTATATTGATTGTTTATTTGTTTAAATTAGCAAAGTCTGTAATGTGTTCAGTTGTTCCGTTAAATAAATCATGTCTTTGGTTTTTCTAAAGGGATCATGATACTATGACATATTTCTGAATATGAATCACATATCAATTCATTCTCTGTTTTTCACGGTATCATTTAAGTCCCAGACTAGGATTCTATTTTTAAGTGAAGATGGCGGATGGGTGCTTCACGTGATATCCTTACTTCCTGACATCTAACAGTTTAAGCGTCGAAGTTTTCGCGACGTGTTCGATGTGCGTCCCATGCGATGTAGACAGCGCGTGAAAATGATACACTGTTTGTTTACTCCACACTGTGGGATGACTGTGGCATTTTAATCCTTGTTGGTTTGAATCGCAGGGGACGAGTTGATGTGCACAACCCTCAATCAAAAACTGTGATTCCAACAGAGGAATACTGCACCGGAATTTGCAGTCGAACAAAAACAAAAACGCCAAGGAGAGTGGTGTGTAGTAGTAGACATATCGAACCAGCCACTGGGCTACAAATGTACATTCTGATTTGAGCCCGTTGTGACTAAATACTTCATCATAAACATCTTATACACATTATGGGTCGACTATCCGAAATCATGGTATTTAAGTGACTGGAACATTGCTGAAAAAACTGCAAGCTAGTCACCGAGATAACAAAATGCAGCTAACTAGAAGGTGATGAATAAACAATTGTTGGCAAAATTTAATAAAAAATACAAGACACCAAAAAATGCACAGATTACATGTTTGACTTCTTGTGCTTTATGGAGGTCGTTCATCATCGTATTTTCTGAGGTATTGTTCTACACCAATATATATTGCTATTTTTAACTGCAACTCCTGTGCTGGTCAATTGTCAAAATACCATGTATATTTTGTATGTCATCTGTTTTACTTTGCTCTCATATTTACTGTAAATTATAATGTTTTATCGTAATTTAATATCGGTAAAATTATTATAATATTGTCATGACATGTACCGAAGTTCAACTTGGAATCAGTGACCTCTACGTTCAATCAGTCACGATCTTTTGTCTTTTTCACTGAATCAAGTTCGAGATTTGACAAACCGTCCAATCAATATTACGCATTGTAGGCTAGAACTCGCTCAAATATGAATGACTTTTCATATTTTCACAGTAAGTGTCGTAAAAACAAATACTGATATTCTATGTAGGGTATGCCATCATATAAACGAGAAATGAGAAAACAAAAAATATTAATTATCTTGGTCGGGAAGAGGAGTGATTTTTTAGAAAAATACAGTTGTACAGAGAATGCAGTTTTAATTAGACTGGATGATATTTTGGACCAATTTTGTTTTTAAAAGTGTTGGAGGCTCGATTTTCGGAGAATTACTAAGTTTTAGATCGATATTAGAATGTGAGATCATTGGATTATCGAAGATAATTGAAATATGGAACAATGAAACACCGCTGTATCCAGTGCGATTTTGGATTTCTTGAATAATCAGAGAAATTATTCAAGTTCAGGTCGATATTAGACAGTATATGGGACTGGAGTTGGATTTCTTTGAGTCTTGAATTTTCAAATAATAAGTTCGATAATTTTTTTGATAATTATCCGATTAAAAAAAAAATGCAATATTTTCGCCTTCATGTATTTTCTACAGCTTCCGCTTCACCCACGACAGCAATGCCAGAATTCACCGAGCCGATGCTCGGGAAGTAAGCATTACTTCGCTTATGGTTTCCTCTTTTGAAAACTAATGAGTGGGTTGGAGCATTTTGGACAAATATATATATATGGATAAAAATATATATGGCCTGTAACCTGTGTTCTAGCACTCCTGTTGTATCAAAAAACTATCGTTATGTCTAAAATTTTGTGAAGGCTATTTTAGGTTTGAAATGTGTCATCGACCATCGCTCGCTTGGAATGAACGGTAGCAGTACGTATGAATCCCGCCAGGTGGTTGAGGAGGATTGTGGGTAAATCCCCAAATCATGATGTCATTACGCGACGTGTTGGTTTAACGAACAAACCTAGGGGGTCACTACAAAGAAAGAATGTATTCTTTCATATATAACTAAGGGTCCAATCAAATTCTGAGTATTTTGTTCTTTTCTGTTCCGTACGTTCTTTCTCAAGTAGATTATGTTGCACTGATGATGTTCAATTTCTTTTTTGGTTGAAAGCTCCCCCATGTATAGAGATATTTATTCGACCTCATACAAGCAATGTGACAGTAAGGTGTCTTAATTAGTATACACATTAAGAAAGTACAAGTCTGAAAAGTATATGAATAGATTCAGACCTTGAAAGACAACAATGCTTATTTTCAAGTCATTCACTACCAAATCACCGAGCTACACACATGAAGCTCCATACTTCATACACCCCCCCAATAACTTAATGAACTAACCAACACCGCTCCGAACGCTTGCACTGGTGGGGGAATGTGTTATGCATTGAAATATATATTCAGTTATACATATATTCCACATTAGAAAACATTCGAATTATAACGTTCATAATACAGAAAATAACAAAATATAAAATGAATGAGTGAACGAGTAGTTTCAGTAGTTTGTTTATGGTATCTTTAACCACGATTACTAGTAACCGTGTTTTAACTCATATTTGGTAAAATTACATTATGATCACGTGCATGAAGATATGAGTGTCAAATGAAGATGAGATGAA